GCCTTCAGTTCAGCCTGAGCTCCTGCTTGGAGCCAGTGCCAACTGCATTTCCTCATTTCAGGGCATTTGCTGGCACAGAATTCAGGGAACTTCATGAATCAGGGCTGAGGTGTGGCACTTGGCCCAGTAGATCTGCTGCCTTTCTGACAGGTTCTGTTTTCCTTAACTGAAGTCAACTTTGGCCTGGCATGTATGATCTCTCCTGGTGTTGGGTCTTGACATTCTTCAGCTATTCCCACACACCCATTGATTGTAGGCTGGTATTCTGTCATTAGACAATTTGAGTGGGAAACAGCCAAGAACCGGGTTGTTTTGTGCATTAGAGACAAGAATGAAATTAAGTAAGCTCCCCCATGTAATTCTTTCTGAAACATGCCTTTATTCCAAAGCCCTCCAGCCTGTCTCATAGGGAGTCTTTCAGTTGTGAGGCCTAGGCAGGAAAATACATAAAACTAAATATGCTTCCTATGTATTCATTTAATGTTGTTTTCAAACTAGGCAACTTTATGATGTGTGGACTTCAACTCCTAGAATTTCTTAGCCGGCGCTGATTGAAACTGAGATGCAGGCCAGAGGCTGGAGAAAATTATTCTGTATTCTTTCCTTTGAATAAAATGCAGCATTTACATTTTTCATAGAATTTGAATAAACTACACAGACAGATACAGTTGGCAACCAAGTTATAGAACTCAACTTATTTAGCTTCTTTCTTTTATTTATGGCAGGTTATGGGGAATAATTATAGGGATAATGTTTTGGTCATTCAGTGCTTCAGAACCTAACTTCACAATCACAATGTCTTGTTATGCACTGTTTTATTATCTGCAATTGAACACTGGAACAGAATATGTTGCCCTCCCACACCTCTCCTGATAAATAGGTCCTCTTACAGTTTTGTAAGGAAACTGGGCAATTCAGAGAGTTGCGCACATCCAAAATAAATCAGGCTCGGTAATACTCCATATCTTACTGAACTGAGACATCTGAGTATATTGTATTTTTCTTCTTGAATCTTGCAAACATTATACTTAACAATCCTGGAGTGGATTTCAGCTGGTTTTTTCCTTCTCACAAATATCCACAGTCTGAGAGCATGGAGCTAATTCTCCCTATAACGGAGTTGGAAGGGACCTTGGAGCAGTGGTGGGATTCAAATTTTTTACTACCGGTTCTCTGGGCGGGGCTTGGTGGGCGTGGCAGGGGAAGGATACTCTAAAATCTCCAGTCAGAGGTGGTATTTGCCAGTTCTCCGAACTACTCAAAATTTCCACTACCGGTTCTTCAGAACTGGTGAGAACTTGCTGAACACTACCTCTGCCTTGGAGGTCTTCTGGTCCAACTGGCTGCTGAAGCAGAAAACCCTATACCATTTTAGACAAATGGGTGTCCAGTCTCTTCTTAAAAACCTTCAGAGGAGCACCCACAACTTCTTGAGGCAAGTCATTCCATTCATTAATTGTTCTACCTGTCAGGAAATGTCTCCTTAGTTCTAGGTTGGTTCTCTCCTTGATTCGTTTCCATCCATTGCTTCTTAATCTGTCTTCAAGTGCTTTGGAGAATAGGTTGGCCCCCTCTTCTATGTGGAAGGTTTTTAGATATTGGAACACTGCTATTATATAAATAAATATAGTTATTTAACCTTAAGGGGGTGGTTGTATTGGTTCCGGAATATTGTGACTGATCCTTCTGGGCTGTCAAAAGGGAGTAGCTTACAAATAAACAGGTCTAAACATTCTGATTGCCTTTTGACATTATGTCAAAAATGATCTGAGAGTGAACTTACCTGAACATCTCATCCCCTACTTTTTCATAGAGTTTTAGATTATCTGAGAGGAAGAAGAAAACTGTAATGATGTCCATTGCAATTCCAGGAGGTTGGCTATATAAATTGGCGATATAAATACAACAACAACCACAACAACAATAATAATAGTTTCCTAGCTAATATAGTAGCTCCAAATGTGTTTTCTCAGTGGGATTTCTTGTTTTACTAATGGTGATGGTGATTCTGTAGAGTAGACTTTAGTTTTAAGAAAATGAAATTTGTTCTGTGGGAGAGTAATAAAATCCTGTAAATAGAGGTTGAAGGATTTGGGCTTTTCATCTTGAGAAGATTGAGGGGGTGTAATTGTACTCTTCAAATATCTCAACAGATGTCATATGGAAACTCAAAATCTATTTTTTCTAATTCCAGCATTCAAGATAAACTATATTAAACTACAAGAAACCACCTTCTGACTGAATTGTCTTTTTAAAAAAATCTTAATTGTAAGAGGAATTTACAGCAGAACCAATTACCAGAGAGATATGTTCAAGTTTAGTCCAGACAATCGTCTATCAAATGAGGGTACTTTGGATTCCACATTGAACAGGGGATGGAAACAATGGCCTAATTGTTATAGTCCATGGTTTATAATTTTCTTTTCATTTAAAATTGATTTCCCCCCATTCTGGGCTAAGTCTAGTAGGGTTGAAATATAGTTTTAAAGGTAGATGGGAGAGAAATCTGTTACGAGATTTCTTCAGAATCAATAGGCTCTTCAGAATAATATTATCAACCCAATTAAAGAACAAATTTGGATCTTATTCTGAATGCCACCCCAAAATATTTCCCCTTATTAGGTGTTAATAGTAGTTTCCAACCAGCTGCTTATGTATTCTGTATCATGATGCTAAAATAATGAAGAGTTTTAGCTCTGACCAAATTTAATGTTATGCTATCAGCAATTTTAGTTACTAGATACTAGAAAATTGCATAGAAGCAGCACCTTTGCTCTTGCATAAAGAGGAATACTGACTCAGTAGAACATGTATTGCTTCTTTTACACAGAAATATGATCTATTTATGCTGCACCTATTATTAGGAAATTGCTAAATTGATCTCCTGGTGGTGAGCTAGCTGAAACTTTTATAGATTCTATAAGTCAACCCTTGGAGGGACATTCATCGGCTAAGAAATATGTTTAACTTTTAGCAAGGTAAGGTCTGTTATGGTTAGTAGGGATAGAATTAAGATAAGCTTAATAGAACTGATAGATTTCAGGTTTTAAATATTGACTGATGGCTTAAAATAGAAGGGAGGACTCAAACACGTTTCAGTTTGCAATATTTTATATATTTATGAAATGCTGTTTCTGTAGTTTGTAGTGGAGTGATTATAATGAAATAGATAATGCTAACCTCAAATTTCCTAAAGTAAATCGTGAATAACGGCCATAATATAGATAACATTTCTGTACAATAAGACAAGCAAAAATTCTCATGGGTTTCAACACTTTAGATTTTACCACAAATTAAATTTTAAAAATTGAGAGTATTTTTTCCCTGACAGACATAAATCAGCCTTGAGAATGCCTCAGCCATCTTCACATTTTTTAAAATTAAGGATGGCTTAAATAGGTTCCATGTCATTTTTTAAAGTTTAAATTTAAAGTGTGCACATAAATATATATTCAGGTTTTTTACTAAATCTGGATTTCAGTACTCAATGCAATATTCATTTTCTTTAGCTCAATATCTACTGTAGATTTGAACCAACATGTAAATGCTGGTGTCTCCTTTTCTAGGACAGTGGTCGCCAACTGGTGGTCCGTGGCCCACTGGTGGTCCATGAGAAAATTTTGGTGGGCTGCAGAGAAATATCACCCCCAGAGCACCCCCCAAAGCAATTAATCCAGGTTGCGCGGGAGCACAAGGCTGCGCTGCCCACATGGCCCACAGAAACCCTCCCCGACCGCTCAACCCTTACCTGGCAAACTTGCCTGCTAAGTTCTGCTGTGCTGGGAGATTTAGATTAGCTAGAAAGCAGGAAACCATTGGATTTCTTGCTTTCTAGCTAATCTTTAGACCTTTGGCTCTGCTTTTAAGCAGAGCCGAACCTTCCTTAGAACTGAACCTTCTATTATTCAGTGCAGACTCTCACTCTCTCCCACCAACGTCAGCAAGCCACCATCAGTTAAAATTCATATTAGTGGTCCCTGGGATTTAAAATTATGAGTTTGGTGGTCCCTGAGGTCCAAAAGGTTGGCGACCCCTGTCCTAGGATATACATCTTATTAAAGTAACTGTTGCATACTTAAAGTTTTCTCTATGACTGAGCTACATAAAATCTACTGATGTGCAGCTCTCTATCATTATTCTGACTGAGATTAACTAAACACAAGACTTTTAGTGAACCTTCTGAGGAAAAAAAAAAAAGTAGAGTACAAATGGTTGTGGTGAAAGTGGTGAAAGTGAAGCACCAGAGGAGTTTCAGAGAATGTATCTATTGGAATGGGTTTGATACATATCTGTGATATTTATCTGTATTGCTCCAACAGCCATTAACTCTGCATTGACTTACATTGACATTTTGCATTTGCTAGTTTGCTGCTGATTTGTTGCTTTTGAAAAAAATCCCCATGGAGCTGTATGTAAGAAAAATAAAAACAGTAAATTACCATGTTTTTAAAAAACCCTATTCCGAAGACATTCCATGGTGTTATTACCCAATTAGTAACTAAGTCTTTGTACTTCAATATCCTGTAAACAGAGAAAGAACAATACAAATTTCAGAAATAACAATTCTAAAATAACACTGCCTCCTTTAGATTTAGAAAATCAAAATTAGAAGCAGGCAGCATGGCTGAGACAGCCTGCAGACTAGCATACGATGGAATGGACCTTCTGGGCTAACTGATGATTTCTTCTTTAATTTTCCAAATTGGTGGCCTATATTAACATACCTTTACCATTTATGGGTCTTATGGGTAAAATAACACTGCCACCTTTAAAACATAATAAAAAAATGGCAGGCTTTTGATTGAAGATAACCTGTGATAGATGATAGCTACTTTTATATATCTATATTTCTTGGGATTTTTTTTTCATTGGCTTATGATTAAAAAAATTTTTTTTCCTAGTTTAGAAAGACAAGAACTGATATGATGAAAAGATATTTCTATGTGAATTGTAATATATAGTATTCTGAACTGATTACCCTTTGTTCCTGCTTGCTACAGGATCTGGGAATCTCCCCTCCTCCTGGCTGCAAAAGAAAATGATGTCTCAGCCATCCAGAAGCTGATAGCGAGCCATACCTGTGACCTTCATGAACGAGGTAGTGGTCCAACCTATTTATCATGGCCCTATTGCCTATTAAGAGAAATCACAATTTGAGGAGCAAAGAAGAGATGGTGGCAGAAATGTGTGGTTGGTTGATTGGCATATGCAAGGACAGCTTCAGATCCTGCAAGGAGCAAATGACTAAATGCCTTGAACTTCCTTCTGAAAAAAAATGCCCCTCATGAATATGGCATGGTCACTCTTGTTTATTGTTTGTCAGAAGAGAGGCCACACACAAGAGATCTCAGGAATAGACATGTCCAGCATTCTGTCTGTTGTGACCTATAAACATAACTGTCGTAGTTGTGACTATCTCTAGAGGGACCATCCCTAGATCATTGCAATGTCATGACAGCTTCTCTTTCTTTGACACTCTTTGTAGGTGCTGTTGGGGAGACAGCTCTTCATGTAGCTGCCTTATACAATAACTTAGAAGCTGCTCAGCTCTTGATCAATGCAGCTCCAGAACTTGTGAATGAACCTGTGACTTCTGAGCTGTATGCTGGTAATTATTATGATTATTGGTTTTATGTCTCATACTTTGCATAAAATATCAATGAAGAAAGCATCAGTTATCGTAAACATAATTAGTCACCTTCTGGCTCACAAAAGGAAAAAATAATCCTAGGATATATTTATGGAAACTCTATTGAAATGGGTCTTTTCATGATACCCAGCTATAGAAAATAAGATAATGGGATTACTCGTGGCAAGATGTTCCTTCACTTTTCTCCAATTACTATTCAGGCCCACTTCCAAGTCTTCAGTTGCTAATGGGACATGGTGGACCTTTTCAGTAGGGTTACTGTATGAAAGCTAATTTTCCGATGAGAAGAATGCACTTCAATGCATATTTTATTTAGCATAAGAATGGAGTATCAGTTAAAAACAGTCACTATAGATGAATCCCAGCCAATCATTTATTCTACAACAGACTGTGATAATATAACCATTTAAGTCCAATTTCTCTCTACAGTGCCCAGAAACAGTGAAATATTGAATATGTTTTAGTGTATATGTTTTAGACATATAATTTGGCTAATAACTTGCTCAGAATATAATTTGCCTTGTTTAAAGTAATAGTATATTTGAGAACCTGATGTGCATTGTAAGACAATGTTTTACTTGCTCCATAAACAATTTGGAATATGACATGAAGAATGAAATACTCAAATTTTCAAATGACACCAAATACTAAGAACAAAAAGAAATGGAACAAACTAAATTATGTAAATGGACAACAAAATGGCTCATTGTAAGTGACTGCAATCTAAGCTTCATACTGACAGAATTTGCAGTTCTGGGGAAAATATTTGTGATTCTGGTAGAAAGACATTTTGCGATTCTGATGAAAATACTAAGAATCCCCAGTTTAAAAATAAACACAAGAAGACTAATTCCATGTGAGAGATTATTATTGAAAGGGGAAAAAAGTATATCTGCTGATATTATAATATAAATGGACATAGTAGTGCAACTTAAAGCACTACTATTCAAAATGGATTAGTGTTCCCATATAGGGAGCTTGTGGTGAGATCTGAATCAAGGAACTCACAATTCAGCCATTTTGCCACTGCCTCATACTAGGCCCCTGAGAAATATCTTCTAAGAAATTCAAGATGGAATATTAAGCAGCGCATTAAACATTAAAACTCTTGAATGAGAACCTGGGTATTCATTTTTAACGGCAATTAACTTTGCAATTGCATTAATAATTAAATCCAGCCTCCAAACTAACACTGAATCAAATTCAATTCCCTTCTGCATTTAACCCTGATGAACTTCTTTGAAAATGCATGAGGCTGATATAAACTATAAGTGATTTAAAATATGTATTTATGTTGTTCATGAGATACTAATCTATAAACTACATTGATCATATAATGAGCTCTCCAGGACACTGATCATAGTTTCCAGAGGAATAACAAATTTATGTTGTAGAAGAAATAACAGAGAATCTTACACGATCTTAAGATTTAACAGCATTATCATAACTTTGTGCTTCATGGAGTACAGGTGTCCTCTTTGTGTTGTGATCCTGTCAGGAAGCTACTAAGAAGTAGATAGAGCAATCTGAATTAAAGAAGAGTACATGTAGATATGATGGGCCAGATGAAATTCTCTGTGGTCCAGAAGTCAATCTTTTGGCTAGAGTGCAGACAATTATTTCAGCCCTACTCTTAATTTTGAACATCCAGCCAATATTTGCCTTTATATAAGCCTACTACTTCTTGTTGCAGAGCTTTTCCTGTAGATGCCAACTTCTTTTAGGGGTGTGGGGTGTGGGGTATAGATTTAATAAAACAGACAGGAAATGCCTCCTCAGGCGATCCATTTTCATAAGAAAAACTGAGCTCTATTAATTAAGATCAGTGGCTAATAGCTCTTCTTGATCCATCAAGGAATTCAGTTCAAAAAATCTGAGTTGAAAAAGACTGTTGATAACCTTTCATGACTTTCTGAAATCAGTGTCACCAGAGGCCATGAGAATATGATGAAATAGTTCATGTAAATGCATGACTACGCATGCTTATATATACATATACAACATATACATATATCCATGCACACACAAATGCACACATGTGGAATTTCAAGATGTTACAAGGGTTTTTGTTAATGTTGTGTATTACAGGGGAGACAGCTCTTCACATAGCTGTGGTAAACAAAAACTTGGGCCTGGTTAAAGCTTTACTTGAGAAAGGAGCAGACGTGAATGAACCTCGTGCTACTGGATATGTTTTCAGGAGAAGAAGTGACAGTCTTTTCTATTTTGGTATGTTGGCGGTCAAATACCTTCTGTGTGAATAATCTGCAATTTGCATTGTATAGAGGAAACACTGTGGTAAGGAGGAACATTCTGTCCCTTGCACCCACCTCTTTCTGAGACAGAAAGTGCTCTTCTCTGAAACAGTAGTCCTCTCAACTATCATTCCTCTGTAAACTAAAAGTCCACATGCTTAACTTGCTTAACATGCTTAACTTGGGGTCAGGGGGGTTGCTTTGAGGGGCAAGGCTATTTGGAAAATCTATAAAAATAACAGGAATTCAGCCTATGGCACCTGATCTGGCATGGGCAGCTCTTTTTATCTGCCCATTTTCACAACTCAGTCCTCCGTTGAGGAGCATGAAGTCATCAGCCAACCAAAAGAGATCAGATATAAAGAAGGTCAGGATTGTTGTGTTGCCTTTTCAAAATAGTTTTGTAGAAAAGAGAATCTAAGAATATTTTCTCATTCCCACTTAACCAATTGATCAGCTACCCATTTGAATCTAACTGCCCAGGTCAACACTAAGGATTGTCTAAGCATTTAAAACAATAGTAACAGTGAGATTAAGTATGTTGGGTTTTTTTTCATGTCTAGGGATATATGTGTGACTAAAAAGTTTGCTCTTATTCTATTTTTTATTCTTGCTTTAGTTTCTATGAGGGGTATTGTTTATTGTTATTATCCTTATGGCTGTTTTGATTGGTTTTAACTTCAGCATGGATATTTCAATTTTTATTTATATAGCCTATAGATTGCCAAGGATTTGATGGTGGCAGAGTTGAAGTAACATTTTAAAATAAATTAATAAAAAGGCAATGATAATATTGTCCCATAAGACAAAATTAATTAATTTGTGTTAAATATCTTTAGCAAACAGAGCTTTCTCATTTAAGAGAAATGTAGCCTATTACATAAGAAGGAAAAACCCGCATCAAATAGAACAGAAGTATCTTTTCTTCTCATAGTAGTCTGTAATTCTACTATCACTGCCTATTTTTGAAAACAAACTATTCTGAAACAGCCGTCAGACTGCATTATTTCGATAGCTTTTGCAATGTTTGTATCAGGTAGTTCTGTTATTGTTCTGTTCCCACTGAAGAGACTAACGGAAAGATCTCATAATGAATTCTTGATTGAGGTAAGAGTTAGTCAGGACTAGGGAAGCAGCTACACTCCTTTCTGAAATGGCTATTGTTGGCTTTCCCCAAGGAAATATCATTAAGAAGAGGGAAGTGTGTTGAGGATCTCTTAATGGAGAATTCACGCTACCAACTCCTAGCCTGTTTAGAGGAAGCCACATTGGTTTAAACCTGATAGAAACAAAGCAGGAATTCCAATCAAGAACTAATTTGATCTGCTATGTGAACAAGAACAGGCGCTTTCATGCTTCCTGAATCTTCTTTTTCCAAAAGATGTTTTTAAAGTTGCTTATTTTGAGAGAAAATGTGATTTTAAAGGTCTATTGGAATTTGTGCATTTTTAAAAGCAAAAAAAAAAAAAAAGTTAAGTCCATAGAACAAGAACTACAAATGTAGCAGATGTAAGTTGACCTAGCAGTAAGTTGTGTGTCCATGTGCTATTACCTCTCACTTTCCCTAAGGATGTCATGTTCTTCAGTTGAATTCCACTACAATTCAGACAAATGGATCTATTTTAGCTATTAGCAAGCTGTTCCACCTCTGGTTTCCTCTAGTATTTTGATTCAGAGACTCTCTTTTTTTCCCAACAGCAGCTAAATACCCAGCCAACAGAAATCCAGATTTCCCAGTTGGCTGCAGTGGAGCTGAAGATTGGCCATGCTATGATTAGCGAGCTCCCTCATTACCTGTTTCAGACCATAATTAAGCTATACTTAATAGATCAATTTTCAAGCATTTTAGTAATGACTCCTCATTAATCTTCACTGTGAGTAAATTGTAACACTCCAGAGTGAGAGTGTGAATGAAAGGGGATATCTCCAGATTCTGCCATCCTATTCCTCCTCTGGCTGCTTATATTCCAACTAATTTCCAATTCTGTTGGGAAATGTGCATTCTCAGAGGTTATTTGGATTAGTTTAATGACAGTGGAGACTAGAGTAAAGGGAATCTTTCTTAACTGAGTGGTATAATAATAAAAAGATATTGGTACAGTGATAAGGAAATATAAATATGTTATCACAATATATATACACATATATACAGTATGTATACATAGGGTGTATGTGTGCATGTATATATTATTTTCATCTTGGATATGTTGCCCAATGATTTTTTAAGCTTAAATATTGAACAAAAATAATCTTTTTCTTTTTCTTCCTTCTTCCTTTCTTCCTTTCTTAGGGGAACACATTTTGTCATTTGCAGCATGTTCTGGGAATGAAGCCATTGTCCAGTTGCTGATTGAAAATGGCGCTAAGATTCGAGTTCAGGATTCTCTAGGTATGCCTTCCTCAAAGGCTCTACACTTACCCTAAGGGCATGCATGTGGGATGAGAAGGTGCTTTATGCAACTCTTCCCTTGTGTAAGACAAACTCCTTCTCTTATCTCCTGCCATTAATATTACACTGCAGATGTAGACAGATACTTCCAAGTCAACTGCTCTGTTACGGTGGTCCTTTCCGATCTATAGAGGGTTTGTGGGAGATTGAGGGAGCGTGTTGGCTTCAGGTTGCATTTCTTTGTCCTCCCTCCCCAAAAATATTCACATAACTGTTGCTGTTCATGGAAAATCATCATATCAGTTGCATTGGGTAAAGGCATGAGATTGTTATAGGTATATGCTGGAAAAAAATGCAGATGATCTAAACTAGCTGTAAGAGCCAAGCTACGTGTTCCGAAGAATCACCTTGTTCAGCAATTATCACTTCAGAACGCAAGGATTTAAATACATAATGTGTTAGAAGATCCTTTTCTGTATCGTATTTGCTTTTTTATGAAGAGAGATGCTGAATATTTCATACTATAATGATACATTCTCCACTGGTTATCCAGAATGATACAAACTAGCTACTGCTAGTTTGACTGACTCTGTTGTTTAAGTAAATTGGCCTGGAATCTGTTAATTTAAACAATTAAAAAGTCTATTCCAAATCATACAGCAGCCAAAACTTTCTTGGCAAAAATATTCAATGCAGGAAACTCCATTCTTTATTTTTTAATCGTTGGACTCCTTTTCCCACTAAGCCAAAAAGAAAGAAGATTGAAGAGTCTGAACAGGGATCAATGATTTCTCGATTTCTCCTTAAGATACAGAGATGAACTTAATTTCTGTTTCTGTTTAATTCCTGATAGGTAATTCAGTCTTCCACATCTTAATCCTCCAGCCTAACAAGGCATCCGCATGTCAAATATACGATCTTCTCCTTTGCTATGACAAGAAAGGGAAGGGTCTGGGGGACCCGGATGCAGTCCTCAATTATGAGGGATTCACCCCATTTAAGCTGGCTGGGGTAGAAGGCAACACTGTGGTAAGCAAAGTGGTTTCTCTACCATTCGTTTTTATCATTTCTTGTTGGAAGTAAGTGCCCCCTTTTCAGGAAGGATTTAAAGGTGTTCAAACCCTGCAATAAAATTGTAAGACTCTAAAACAAATAAAAGCTACAAGTGATGTATATTCCATGAACATCCAGATGGTTCAGATTGTTGTCTCTTAAGTCCAGTGAGGCAGTGAGAGTTTTGTGATCTTGTCCCACTTCTGGACCCATTTTCCAGAATGTTTTGCCAATTTAAAACCTCTCTGGATGAAGGTGGGGAAGATCCCTGAGCTGACAAAATGAGTGAGAGAAATCCTGCTATATTTCCTTTGAAAGCCCTCAGCTCAGCTTGCATAATGATGATACCAAATCCTATTTCTTATCACAGCCAGTACTGCTCTTCTTGGAAGTGTATCTATAAAATCTTCTAGGGAAGACTATCAATCATCTCTTTCCTTGTAAAAATGGAGGTGGATATGTTGTGAGCTTGGCAAGGGCTCCACCAAGGAGAAAAACAACGTATTGCTGTATCTCAACCTTGATTGGCCTCTTCATGGCTCCCTTCTGGCAGGCAGTAAAACGATACTTCCCTCACCCCATACCCCATACTTCAGGAGTTAGGTTTTTAAAGGTTGATTGCTGAAAGCGCCTCTGTTTTGGAGCTCTTCAATCAAAAACTAGATCTTAATTTTCTAGAACATCACTGAAAGTGTTGAAATCCAACCTATATGCATTTTAATCAACATTTTTTCCTGACCCTTTTATTTTATTTATTCATTTATTTGATTGATATAATTCTTTTTCAAGAGCTCAGGTTGGCATCCATAGAGCTTTCTGCTCTATATTTTCCTCATTATAAAAGCCCAGTGAAAAATCAAATTGAGAGATAGTGGTTAATCAAATCTAGTGATTTGTGATTAGAATCAAACTCAGGATCTCCTTGGTTCTAATCCAGTACAATTACATCAGTCTTTCTGACCTGCTGTACTATAAAAAAATTAAATGATTTGACTTAATAAAAGAAACCCCAAATACCTGGCCAAAAAGGACCATCAGGGCAAACATTTATTTCTGAAACAAAACTAAAGGCTAGGGACCCTAACCTACTAGCTTAGGATGTTACATTAAAGCTGCATTAAATATAGGTATCAGCATAGCCTATTTGACATGCATTCTCTGGACAGGAATCTACATTTCAAGGTAAAAGTTTATACTCTGGGCTGTTCCACAAAATTAAAAAAAAAGCAAACAACACTCATTTGAGAGAAAAACACAATTTTCTTCCATATCACCCTTAGTTTAAAGAAGAGTAGAATGTGCAGAGCAGACAAACTACAGGAGACAGACAATCCTTCAAATAGTCAGGCTAGTTAAATGTAGGGAAACTTCTGTGAATCCCGCTGTGTAAGCCATATTATTGATAGTTTTATTGTATTCTCTAACTTTTGTATTAGCTTGCATTTTGATAAATTAAAAGAGAGATATGACAGATATCGGTTGTGGGAGCAAATACCCCCTTCAACAGCAAGCGTCCAGGCTGACTGAAACTTTTCTTTTCCTCAAATTAGCTGTTCAACCACCTAATGCAAAGAAGAAAACATGTCCTATGGACTTTTGGGTCTTTGACGTCTACCTTGTATGACCTTACGGAAATTGATTCATGGGGAGATGATCAGTCTCTTCTGGAACTTATTGTCACCACAAAAAAAAGAGAGGTATTATGTTGAAAGGAGGGGCTGCTGGATGTTTCTTCTCAAAGTGGCTTTTTAGTAGAGAACCAGATTTATTCAGTCAGATCAGACCATCTTTTCTGAATACAGATTCTTTTCTACAACTGATTTTTCAAAGTGTATCCATAAGAGAGTGTGGGATGCCTTCGACGTCTGCAATAGGTTAGAGATTTTGTGGCAGGTATCTGGAGAGTTTCTGACTAATGAGCTCTCATATAATAAGATCTCCAAAGAATGGAACAGCTTTCTTAAAGTCACCCTGTGATCCAAAACCCACAAAGGGTTTCAGTAAATATTAGGCAATTATCTGGTGAAGCAGTAAGCAATATTGCAGGCTGACTCTGCTCACTGCCAGGAGTTTGATCCTAACTGGCTCAAGATTGACTCAGCCTTCTACCTCTTAGAGCAGTGGCCCCCAACCTTTTTTGTGCCACGGCCTGGTATCGGCATCACAAAATGATCCGCGGCCCGGTACCAGCATCAGCACGCATGACAAGGCAAGGCGAGCCAAGCGACCGGCCAGCCAGCCGTCCCCCGCTTCTCCCCGCCACCTTCAACTCCTCCTTTGTACCTTTGTTGATGGGCTTCACTTCGGGACGGCTTCGGGACGGTCGCTCGGCTCGCCTTGCCTTGGGTGCTGAAAGAATCCTCGCGTCTTAGTTTCATTCGAAGCCCCCCCACCTTCGATGAAACTAAGGCACGAGGATTCCTTCAGGACCCAAACGCCGCTTTCCAACCGGAAAAGCTCACCCGGAAGCACTTTCTCGTCAAACAAGATGGCAGCGCCCAGCAAACCGGCGGCCTGGTAGGAAATGTTCCACGGACCGGTATCGGTCCGCGGCCCGGTGGTTGGGGACCCCTGTCTTAGAGAGTGTTATCAAGCACTATGAAGCTGAATATAAGTTTAAATGTTATTGCTATTGCTATCGTTGCCTTACATTAAGGGCACATTTGTGTTATCCTATGACATTCTTATGGTCATACTGCTTGAATATGCAATATTTAAAAGAATTGAAGGAAATAATGCAACCAACCAGCATATGAACTGGATTTGGTGGGTGTCATTTTTAGTGTATTTCAGCCCTGAACGGTCATCTGCCTTCCTCGAAGATCTCACACATCTTCAAGCTATGTTCTGCTTTTGCATCTTCATCCTTACCAACTTCATAATTGGCACCATCCATTTCCATTTTTACATACTGAAGACTTCTAGCAAGGACTCCAGTGCTCTTTCCCAATGTAATGAGAAACTGGATAATGAGAAACTGGATCTTTCAATATATTCTCCAGGAGTAACACCGTCTTTTAAAAATAATCCAACTACCCCCTTCATTTTCAGAGGTTGCTTTTGTTGTCTTTGAGAATTATTTGTTTGTAAGATAAAAAGGCTGAACACAGGCTATTTTACATCCCTCAGGCCCGAAGAATCCTCGACCTTACTCCTGTGAATGAGCTGGTAAGCCTGAAGTGGAATAAATACGGACGGCCATATTTTTGTATTCTGGCCTTATTTTACGTCCTGTACATGATTTGCTTCACAATGTGTTGTGTCTACCGACCCCTGAAAGACCGAAGCTTCAACAAAACAAATGAAAGAGATAACACAATCTATGTTCAGAAACTTTTGCAGGTAGGTTCTTTAACACGAATCTATTAAAAATGTAAAAATCATTTACAATTTTCAATTCCAGGAGAAACCAGGGGTGGGATTCTACCAGTTTGCACCTATTCACTAGAACCGGTTGTTAACATTCTAAGCAGTTCAGAGAACTGATTGTTAGAAGAAATTACTGGCCTAATCCTGTAAGGAAGGCAGGAAGGAAACATTCTGGTGTTGCTTACAGAAACTGCCTCTCCGTTAACCCTTATTACATTCTTGGCAGGACTAGACTTCCTGTCTCAGGAACGTCTCTGGAGTTGTTTTTTTTCCTCCTTTGCTGATACTTTGCTTGTGTGGATGACCATTCAAAGTTACAATGGCACTGAAAAAAGTGACTTATGACAATTTTTCACACTTACAACTGTTGCAGCATCCCCACAGTCATGAGAGGCTAGGCAAGGAGATGTGTGCCTCGATGTGAGTGATGTTGAGTTGGTCACACCCAGCCAATAACATGACCACCAAGCCACGCCCACCAACTAAGCCATGCCCACAGAACCGGTTGTTAAAAAATTTGAATCCCACCCCTGGGAGAAACAACTTCTCCAAAGATAGTGCACAACCAGATATAACCAAGGGCTGGAGAACAATTGGCCTGGGAGGCAAAAAGTAGTGGCACTGTCCATTTAATTTAATTGTGTGGGGGTGTGGGTGGGTGGGGAAACCCCTGCAATAACAAGTTGGTGCTCTATACAGCAATTCTGTGCATATTCATTCAGAATTTCTCAGTACCCTGTGAAGTTTATTCCCACTGCAGCGTCTTGAGCTTGGCATCAGCTCAAATAATAACAGGCAAATTGGTAGTTAGAGGGAAAAGTGTGGACACTATTAGTTCAGTTGATGGATTTTCCAAACAAACGATAACAATTCAGAAGACTCCCTGAAAATTGCTCTTTAGCGAGTGTGGCAGTTAATGACTTGACTATGAGAGAACACAATTTAGGCAAAATTGAAACATGTACAGAAATATGGTAGGAGGTTTTCCATTACCCATGTGCTGCTGTTATGCTCCTGTGAGGAAGTAGAATGGCACAGCCGTTGCACTTAAGAGCTTCTTTGACTATAAACTGTGGTTGTACTAATATGTGTGCAGCCTTTATTTTCTGTGTTTATCAAATAATAGGGGATTCTCTACACGAACCATATTGTAGATTGTAATGACCTTATGCAAGGCTTCAATTCATTTAGCACTAAATTGTGGCAGTAAAGGTTGGTAGGAGATATGGGTATTCATTTATGCCTATTTCTCCCACAACAGTCTTCCCAGTCTTAAATAGAACTATAAGCAAATTCAGTCAAATGTGTGAAGACTCCTTGCAAATCTGCACATTAAATTCATGAGGCTCTTTTTCAATAGTCAGATAAACAAAGGATCCCTAAAGTTGAATAGTTGAATATTCTTAATAAACAACTGACTTCCCATAGCATAGTTTTTCATCAGTACATTGAGAGTTTCTTTCCCTTGAATTTGGCCTCTCTCTTTCTCTAAAATATCACTGTCACCTAATACACTAATTTCTGTTGTCATCTGTCACAATTTTACTTCTGAAAGGCTTAGTTTCCATTGTCATAACAGGAAACATTAGCATTTAATCTCCTGAGTATGAGGAAGTTGAAGTCTTTTTCCTTTTTTTAAAGAAAGAGAGGCAGATAGATGGACACAGCAGAGATGAAGTCAAACTTCCTTAAGTTATCAGAATGTCAGGCAGCTGGCTCACTTTGCTTGGAACTGTATTAATTCTGAAAGTTGACTACTAGTGGGATTCCCAGCTGAAAAGCACATTAGCTCACATTATTAAATAATCCTGCAGGATTCAGGTTTCTAAGTTTCCTGCTATTCACACACCCGCTTCTTCAAAACTTTAGAGTGATATGAGTGATAATCAAAGTAATTATGTAGTTTTCAGCAACTGTATCTAGAACCATTGGGTGGATTCCACTTTGCCAGTCTTGTGCTTATCCACTAACTTTTTGGGAGATGTACAGATTGTGAAGTCTCCAAGAAAAAGGCAAATTGATGAGTAGTCACTAATATTGTTTCTCTGACGTGATGATGGAGTGCAGTCCTGGATATATTCTCACTCTCCACTTTTATTGATCATCATTGCCACCTTGGTCTAAATCCATAAAACAAGGAAGTTGGATCCTTGAAATATTAATTCTTGAGGTTGTGATGCTCCTAATCAATATGGGTTTGCATTCCTTTTCAGGAGTCTTATATTACTTCTGAAGATAAGCACAGACTTGTTGGTGAGTTGATCACTGTTGTTGGAGCCATTGTGATATTGATATTGGAGGTAAGAGCAATGTTTATCCTTCTCCAATCTTTATGTGAAAAAAAAACCTTGAGTAGAAAGCAACTGAGCAGCAGAAGAAGCATTCTATAATAGGATTAGCAATATTGTTTAACATAAGTTCTTTCTAAATCCTCTGACCTCTATTTGAAGGCTGCTACAATGTACATTCTAGATCCTAACCTAGTGCAGTGCTAAGCTATAATGTAATATTGTAGGTGCTTAACTAAGAAATCCTAAAGCTTTGCCTATGCAGAAGTCACAGGCATTTTGAATCCGTCGTTTTTGCATCAGGGAGGGACCCAAGAGTTCTTTTTCAAGAGACATTGGACTTTCTAGTTTTTCTTTGAAGATGTTTCGCTTCTCATCCAAGAAGTTTCCTCAGCTCTGAATAAGTGAAACATGACAGTTTAAGGTCATCTTCTTGGATGAGAAGCGAAACATCTTCAAAGAAAAACCAGAAAGTCCAGTTACCTCTTGAAAAAGTACCTTTGGGACAACCATGACATGAATGACTGAGAATCTCCATAGACATCAGGGAGTGACTTCTCCAAAATGAAGGAGAAGGTGTCAGCATGTGGTTGCAGTCCAGATAATTCATTCAGATTCTAGTATTGAAAAAAAATGTTGTATCACTGAGTTTCTTTGACTTTGGGGTTTCTTTCTTTCTTTCTTTCTTTCTTTCTTTCTTTCTTTCTTTCTTT